CACCACCACCAGCAGCAGCAGCAGCAGCAGCAGCAGCAGCAGCAGCAGCAGCAGCACCAGCAGCAGCAGCAGCACCAGCAGCACCACCACCACCAGCAGCAGCAGCAGCAGCAGCAGCAGCACCAGCAGCAGCAGCAGCACCAGCAGCACCACCACCACCAGCAGCAGCAGCAGCAGCAGCAGCAGCACCAGCAGCAGCAGCAGCACCAGCAGCACCACCACCACCAGCAGCAGCAGCAGCAGCAGCAGCAGCAGCAGCAGCAGCAGCAGCAGCAGCAGCAGCAGCAGCAGCGGGCATGCGCGCATAGGGTAATGAACTTGGAGCTTTTAATATCTACCTGATGAACATAAATCACTTCAATTTTTCCCCTCATTATGATTAGACCGAAAAGACTTAATTAAATGCGGCTACATGAGCTTATAGGCTTTTACCGATGGAAACAACGGAGAAGAAATTAATTTTCCGCTTCGTCTCGAGCGCTGAGCGGCTGCCTGCCTACCTCGCAACGGGCATGGGGAAGAATTAGCCTGACATAATTCCCCATCGATCCGCCCTCTCTTCTCATCTCGTAGCGCCTCCCGGTGTTCTACTGAACACGGAAAGAGCTACCTTGCTCTTGTTCGGCGCTGATTATTGTAAAATCCCACCCAGTACGTTGACTGTTCACTATAGCGCTCGCCCCCCATTAACTTTTGCTCTCATTTTCTTCTTCAATTTTGCTCTCGCAGACTTTCAATTTCGTGCGTTTTCGCTTGCTAAGATGGTGCCTATCTGTTATTGCTGCAGCAGTTCGAAATGGTTGAGTCGATTGTGTAATTAATAATGTACGTAATTTGTCGTATGATGTAGAATCTAGCCGTTAGTTCATAGGTTCAATCGTTGCCCGCGTTAATCAAACATGCAAAGACGCTTTCAATCATCATAGCACATTAGTTTCTAATCTTTCTCTTGTCTAATTCTATCGCATATAAATAACGTACGTATGTTGCATCTTTCCCCCGGAGTGTTGAAAACAAAGGTTTGCTGTCTGTAGTAGAATTCTGTTGTAAGTTTTGTTTGATACATATGTTGTTATATGACTGTCAAAATATCTCATTATAATTGAGGCGTAGATCCTATATATATATACATATATATATAAATATAAATATACAGCTATGTAATTGAGGCGTAGATCCTATATATATATACTATATATATATAAATAAAAAAAAATCGCTAATAATAATAACAACAGTGTTAATAATATACTAATACATTAGCGATGATAAATGCACAGATAGATTAGACTAGATAAATAGCGTAATCGCTGCATGTTTTGGTGACACTGTCACATAAAAACAGAAAAAGCCCACTACTGCAATCTACGCGCACTCTATATGTCACCAACTGCTCGCTAAACGTATGCGCTTGTTAAAAACTAGTGATAAAAACTATATTATATTCCCGTCAAGGCAAGAGCCACGAGCGAGCAATGCTTTCGCCCAGCTCATCACGACATCTCGCGAGAAACGAACAATCCTATATCAAAGAACACGCGCAGCCACTGATCTGTACATAACTCTATAATGATCTATGTAATGAGAGTTATATATATATATATTTGAGTTCGTATGTATGTATGTATGTATGTATGTATGTATGTATGTATGTATGTATGTATGTATGTATCTTCCCTATGACCTATAGGCGGCCAAACCGCCCAAGCGATCTGGATGCAATTTTCACAGGGCCATCTCTTATACCCGGGGAGTGTTCCT